AAAAGCTATTGAAGAGACCTACAATTTTTTTCTTGAGTTTTTACATATCCAGAGTTCATCGGTGTGTAATATATATATATATATTCTTAACTGATCGTTTTTCCAGATTCGAATTGCATCGGTGTATAATGCATATATACTCTTAATTGGTTCCAAATCAATTACTATCATGCTCATTCATCATTAAATGATATTTATCATAATATAACTTATTTAATACTATTTACCATAGTATTTTAAAAAAACAAAATTACTAGATTTTACAAACATTCCACCCCCACCCTTGGGGGTTGTGGCCAAACTAAATGATGATAAAAAGGTGGAAAACAAACCAGAATGAGTTCTAATTGAGGACAAGCGCTAGAGGCAGAGGGAAGGCACGCATATAAGAGTAGACAATGTTGAAAATAGCATTAACGCATAACGTAACGTTTACCTCCAGTTAGGTTACAATAGCGATAACGCATAGCGTAACGTAGGTTAAATAATTTATTATTGTTTAAATAATTTATAGATATATAACATTCAAAATACTCAGATTTAAAAATTATTTTCACAAATACCCATAATTTAAGGGTATATGTGCAAATCAGCCAATAAACGAACAAAAAAAAACCCACAATCGCCCTTATCCTCTTATCCGCTAATCTAGAGAGAGAGAAAGAGAGAGAGAAAGAGAGCCGATCTTATCCTCTTCTAATTCCTTTATAAAAACCCCACCCCATCCTCCCCTCTTCCCTCATCATCTCCTTCCCCCCCTCCTCTCTCTCTCTCTACGAACCAACCCTCTTTCTCTCTCATCAGTCGTCGTCACCATGTGTAGCGGTCCAAGAAAACCCCAGTCTCCTAAGTTCGTCGACGACGAAGGCCCTAAGTTCGGCGACGACGATGAGGACCTGAGACGAAGAAGAGGACGAGGGCCTGAGACGAAGACGACGACGACGAGGACCTGAGATGAAAACGACGACGAGGGCCTGAGACGAAGACGAAGACGACGACGAGGTTCTGAGACGAAGACGAAGATGAGGTTAGAATCTGGGCGACGACATCTCTTTTATTTTTAGGGTTTTGTTGAATTTGAAGTCAATCACAACCGTTGATTTTTTTTAAAATAAATCTTAGCCATTAATCAAATAACGCAGGCAAAGCAACGCTACGCAAAAACGCCACAAAACGTACGCTATGCCCGAAATAGCGTACGTTATTTGTGATCTGCGCTATTTTAAAACGCTACATAGCGTTAACCCGTCGCTACGTCACGTTAAACGTCATTTTACGTTATATAACGCGTTATTTTCAACATTGAGAGTAGAGGCAATGCACAGATAAGATCCATTTGTCTTTTGCGAATGAGGGCGAAGAGAACACTCACGAAAAACCCAAATGACACAATTTATTGCTAGAAACCCAAGCTATCGCTAAACCCTTGGTTTTTTTTATTTTTGGGTTTTTTGTATATATGTGCAACCCTTAGAACATTTGCAAAATTACTCCTCAAATCTCAGTATTAGCAAAAGTTACCCATCAAATCTCAATATTTGCAAAAGTACTACCCTCAAATCACCAACGATGCTAAAATACCCTCCAGATCAACAAATCATTAAATTTGACATGCTAATTTATAAATGAATTGTATGAATATCAACAGAATAGTCAAATACTTATTCATAATATCTAATAAACTTTTTTATTTTCTAATATCTTTTGTATTTATTTTCAAAGTTGATAATTTGGGGGGTTGGTTTGCAAATCTTGAAATTTAGGGGTCTTTTTGGAAGTATGCATGATTTTAAGGATGCTGTTGATGTCCGTGAATACACAGTCGAAGATGGTCTTCCGTTGATGACAAAGGTTGGGAGGATAAGAGATGGGGCCGACTCCTCCTCCGACTCTACGCCCGATTCTGAGCGCGCGTTGTGGACTGATAGCCTGTACATGTAAGAATCGTAAGAGTACGGGGCTAATTTCCCCCGTGGTACCTCCGACGGTCAAGTCAGCCGATGAACTTGAGGAGAGTTTTTTGAGAGGTCCCTGAGCCATTGAGGTCCTTGCAGGGGTTCCTCCTATGGAGTTAATGATTCTCTTACTTTAGCAAAGGTAAATTCAAAGTTTTTATCAAGAAGTAGCAGAAAAGAATAATCCTTTTTTTACCTTATTTTCCCCCTTTTATAGCCCATCACCCCTGGGAGTTTGACCATTCGGCTTTGATTATGCACAGAAGGCGGTTGAGGGGTGAGCCGAAGGCTGAGTCATATTTCTCCTCCAAGGTATCGACTGGCGATTGGGAGGGAAGTCATTCAAATATAGGAGAGAGATGTCCCCTCAGCATCCTGGATTTGACAGATGAGGCAGGACAGAGGATAGGCCCGCTGTTCGGTTGTCCTTCTCCCTCCAGATGGCGGCTGATGACTGGAGGGAAAGTTATTCGATCCCAGAAGAGCATCATGGCGATCCCAGAGAAGTGACTTGTGAGTAGAATAAACGGCTTATGCAGGGGATTTGTCAGAACAGAGATCTTGATGGGACTAATCAGTGTTGTTGTGTTGATTGACATCTGAGGTGAGCTTAGCTGGATCTTATCCCCATAGTAGAGGCGAGTCGGTTCGTGAGTTGTCTTTGTGATTTCCCGACTCGATAGCCGAGTGAGACTCGGGTCGAGTGTATAGTCGAGATGTCTGCTGAAGGAGTCGTCTTGATTACGAGTGACCGACTGGTCCCGCACTTCGAATCGGTAATGATGACCCTTGGTCAAAAATGACTCGTCTGCCTCGTCTGCTCGACTGGCCAATAGACTTGCCCTTGGTTAGGCTTTGAAACCTCTAAGCTGGTTTGAACTGTGGCCTTTTTAGCCTATGCAGACAACCTTTCGGTATCTTCATCTTTAGATGGTAAATTACCATAATAGATGCCTATACAAAAAATATCAAGTTTCAAAGGGCCCCCTTTACATATAAATAAACTGCTTGACAAATCGAAGTATATTATCCAAATACATAAGAATATGTAAAACGACATATAGATCAAACACATTTTTATTATATTATATTACATGAAGAACATGTTACTAGACTAAACACTGAAGTTAAACATTAAACTCATTTTTCCTTCAAACTATTAGTTATAGTCATATCTGGTGAGTATCGTAGTCCAATCTGAGTCTAAATTTGATTTTGTGAAATATGGCTAGTGAGTTCAACATGCAAACGATATCCATATCCATGTCCATATACTTAAGGATGGAAATGAACCAAATAATTAAGAAACTATTCGGTTATTATTCGGTCATATTCGATTCGGTAGTTCATTTAATAGTAAACGTATATTTTTGAGTAATCGACTCATAAACGAATAGAATTTAACCAGAGGTGTATTTGATTCGGTTGATTATTAAATATTTGTTAATGCTTTAAATTTATTCCTCTAAAGTTAATTTATCATAACTATTTATCCTTTAAACTTGCACTTGAGATATTTATCATGCCGACATATATCATAACTAAATATCTATAAGAAATAAATTCTTATCCTAATTTTAATTAAGGTTATGTTCTTAAGTTGCTAAAAGAAGTTTGCTAGAAAATGAATTAATATAGATCTGAAATCTATAATGAGATGTTGTTCTACTTCTACATTATTGCATTATACTAACTTTTTATGTTATATAACAGTATAGATATTACTATTGATAAATATATAGATTAATAATTTATAAATATATAAAATTTAATAATTTTGGTGTGACATATCTTAATAATCATCATGTAGTTATGCAAAATGTAAAAAGAAAAGAAAATAAATAAATTACCAACATAGCATTGAAACCCATGACTTCAGTTAAAGAGCCAAATGCCTCAACCAAGTGTGCTAGCAAGTATTTGTGAATATTTACCGAATATTTGTTTAATTAATCGAATCGAATTTGAACGCCTTCTACCTATTCAGCAAGAATTCGAATCCGAATTTGAATTCTAATTCAATAGAGCAAACCGAATTCGAATTCTAATGTAAAGATATTCGATCATATACGATTCATTTCCACCCCAACATATATGTAAGAGTGAAGGGTGTGTATGTCGTGTGTGCACATTTGTGCATGCAGGCTCACACGTGCCAATTACACCCTTGTAGATTGGATTCTAATATGCCTACGCCCACAATCAATAAAATGCATATACCAGTTGGAAAATACACACAAGTTGAGAACTCATACATAGTTTCTTTACCTTCATCTTGTATTTGAAATGAGATAAAATAGTTCCGTAGCTATCTTTCTTGTATTTTTGGCTGATACCTATATTAATCATTACCAAAATGGTCAAAATGATCCTAGGGATTATAAAAGGGACTAGTGACTCTTCGACGATCACACTCGGAAGGGAATATGTGAATTGTCTTGGTTTAATCGTGATGACATGGCTGCAAAACATGGATCTTGGTGGGGATTATGGTAGTAATATTGTTGAGAGTTGATGTTGTTTCAATACATTACATACTTGGCATTGTGCACTACTGATTTCCATCAATTAAGTAGACCCATTTCATCCTAGCATCATACTGATTTGATTTATGATGAAGTTAGGAGCATGCAACCTTTCAGTAAGTCAAACACTTATTCTGCTTTCTGAACCCACAGCTAGTTGTCATTGCCAACTTCAAATGATGTGATTCTCCAGAGAGTGCTATGTATATTTTCTTCCTTCTTACTTATTCTGCTAGCTTTAGCATCTTCTTATCATTTCTCTGTTCAGTTTTTTCTGTTCTTTGTGTGACAATGTAATCAAATAAGAAAAAGAGCGGTAAATATATGTAATAATATTGTTTTAGGTATTATTTATCTTCTACGCAAGAAAGAGTTCCAATTCATCATTATATTTTACTTAGGAGAAATTCTAGAATATCATAATATATAGGGCTGTGATTTATGTATTGTTTTTAAATTTTAGCATCAGTTTTGCAATTTGTATCAGTCCGCAACACTTTTTGACATTGATCTTATGCAGGGATGTTAGTAATGTGATCTATGAGAATGACTGCGTCCATCTTATGCTTTGCCAATGATCTGGCCTGGCTTCTACTGCTGATCTTGCCCTCAAGGGAGATCACTGATGGATGGCTGTGATTGGGCATCGGCACTCATTTTCATTGTAGCGATCATCTAAGAATTTACCTTTTCTTTTTCTGTCTCTCACCCAAATTAGCTTGTTGGTGCTATCTGGTTTGATTCTCCTATCATAATGGGATAGCGATTGGGGGACAAGAATCGCAATCGTCGGATGCATCCTATAGCTTTTGCTCCTTTTAGCATTGGTGCGGATGGGACCACAAACACTAGAAAGGAAGTGATACTATGAATTATGGAACATAGCTGCCGGAAATTCTTTTCTTCTTCCTATTGTGCTGTGGCTAAGGTGCAAAGCATATCTTATGCTTATTCTGTTCTCTTTTCACTTCCTTCTTTAATTTCTATCCCCTTCATTTCCATGAACATTGTGTTTTGAGACTTAGGGGAAGGTTGCAGTTAGAAGGCCCATCATTTTTAACTGCTACACTTTTTTTTTTCCTTCATCCTTTAAACTGTCTTTTGGTGCTACTGATGATTGGTTCAGGTACTTATTCCCTGTCCAATGCTGTGAAGAGATGCCACCATAGTTGTCTTGGCGAATAAAATGCCCATAATGCACATATAGAAAGCTAACCTGGAATAGGTGGCACAATAATTTACTCACATACGTGCTTTTGGAAATGGTTGTGGGCCAAGTTCCTGCGTACAGATAAGTAAATGGTCAGCTTGGATGACAATCAAGAGAATACTTGGATGGTTGGGGTTAACTTTGTGGGCCCTGGAGTGTGCCCCAGCTGGAGGAAGAGCTTTCATTGGATTGCTGATAGTCCTTGAAATGCATGGTGTGAATTGATTTGGCTCTATTCTGCCTTCCTGATGAGAAGGAACATGTATGGGAGGGAAAATATCTTTCATTATCCAGAATGCATCCTCTTGGAGTTTATAGCGATCTAACATGAGTATATTAGATATGGCTCAGTAAATATTTGGGGCAGGCATCTTTGATCTTGATGCGGGTCTGATCGAGGCAACATCAAATGCAGTGATTTCAATTCCCAGAAAAACTATGGTGTTTAAAGATGAATAAATATGGATAGTAAAAAGATCCAAGGATGTGATACGAAATAAGGTTATAGGATTTCTTACCGAGGTTTATTGTAATTGATCTCTCTCCTTCAAAGATCATTTAACCTATTTCTTATAGGTAGTAAAATTTTCAGAAGATTCTACTTATGGATAGAGAATTACCTGCCTGGTATTTCTTGCGGCGGAAAGCTACTCATTTCATGAACCTTAATGTTTTGTGAATGTGATTAACAGAACTGACGGTAGAGATCTTTATGAACCAGAATTCTACTGAGGAAGAATTATGGGGGAAAGTACTAAACTATCCATGCTTGTTGAAACGTGTCCCCCATGTACATCTATGTTGTTCATTGACTTCTTTTTTCCTATGATTCTTTATTTACCATAAAGAATGAAGAGCTGGATTTTCTGAAAATGATGGTTGCTGACTAAAGCTTGTATGGTTACCCTTTCCTTGAATGAAAGATATATATTCTTCAAAGGAAGCAGGTGTAACTGTGTAAGTTTCATTAATTGAAACTGCAATTTCAGCGTGTATCAAGTTCGTTTTGCAAGATTAAGAAATTGAATAATTAATATTTTTTACTAGTTTCCATCAAATTTTTTTTAATACTCCTTATCCGTCACTATAAACAGAGGAGGATCTACATACAGTCCAAAGGGGGCCACGGCCCACCCAAAATTTGGGGGAAAAAAAAATTAGGGTGCTCTATTCCTTAGGTGGGGGGGGGGATTAGGGTGCTCTATTCCTAATTTGGGGGAAAAAAATTAGTTTGTGAATATTAAATATTTGAGGGGTTTTATGTATATATTAATTGTAAATACATTACCATGAGCAGCAACAAGATTAATAAATGGGGTTTTATTGAAATTGAAAATTTATGGAGAGGTATTTAGCAAATGGTTATTCTTAAGGGGGTTTATTAATAAATGGGGTTATTCTTAAGGGATTAATAAATGGGATTTTAAGGGATTAATAAAGGGAGTTTCATTGAAATAGGAAAAGATAATGTATCTTCACTCAATCGTAATGCTGAAAAGGCATGTGAGGATTTGATAAACCAACCGCAACATATATCAAGGCGATTCGATAATTTTAATGCTGAACAAGTTGCAACAAATCGTCTTCGGTTAAGAGCTCACATACTTGTGGTGCGATTGCTTGCACTCCAAGAGATTCCGTTTAGAGGCCACGATGAGAAATCTAGTTCGTCCAATCGTGGCAATTTTTTTGAATTTTTGGATGTGCTGGCCATGGAGAATGACGAACTTTCAAAGGCAATTGTGAAAGCTCCCAAAAATGCCAAATATACAAGTCATGATATTCAAAAACAAATACTTTATGTGTTTTCAGTGAGATTGAAAAATGCAATTCGTGAAGAAATTGGAGTTGCCAAGTATTGCATTATTATTGATGAAACCCGTGATGAGTCAAAAAAAGAGCAAATGTCTATTGTGTTGCGGTTTGTGGACACTAATGGATTCATTCAAGAACGTTTTTTTTGGCTTGCTCATGTTTCCGATACTGCAGCTTTGACTTTAAAGAACGCAATATATTCTGCTTTGGCTCATTACAATTTGGATGTTCAAAATATTAGAGGTCAAGGTTATGATGGGGCCAGTAATATAAGGGGTGAATTCAATGGATTGCAAGCTTTGATTATGAAAGATTGTAAGATTGCTTACTATGTTCATTGCTTTGCTCATCGGCTACAGTTGGCTCTTGTTGCGACAACAAAAAATCTGACTCCCATTCATATGTTTTTTGATAAATTAATTTCTATAGTTAATATGGTTGGTGCTTCTTGAAAGCGTAATGATGAATTGAAGAAAGCTCACACGGATGACATTGCCCATTTGATTTCTATTAATGAACTCGAGACAATGCCTGGACTTAATCAGATCGGCACTTTACAACAAGCTGCTGATACGCGTTGGAGTTCTCATTTCAGATCATTATCAAGTTTGATCAGGATGTTCAGTGCAACATGTGCGGTGTTGCTCAAAGTTATGGAGGATGAGCTTCCTTCCCAACGAGCCGATGCAACATCTGTTTATGATGAAATGACTTCGTTCGATTTTGTATTTATCTTACATCTAATGAGTGAGATTATGGGGATCACAGATTTTCTTTGCCAGACTTTACAAAGGAAGTCTCAAGACATTTCGAATGCAATGGAGCTTGTGTCATCTACAAAAAGATTACTACAAGAGTTAAGGGATGACAAGTAGGATAATTTGTTTGAAAAAGTGAAGTCTTTTTGTGTGGCTCGTAACATTAATATTCCTGATTTTAGTGCTCAGTATGTTGATAGACGACGTCGAGCTCGTGGTCATCAAGACATCACCATTGGGCATCATTATCGAGTAGACTTTTTTTTATGACGTGATCGATTCACAAATGCAAGAAATTAATGTGCATTTTAGTGAAGATGCGATAGAATTGCTCATGCTTAGTTCTGCCTTAAATCCTCAAAATGCATCTGCGGCTTTGAGAATACAAGATATATGCAAATTGGTTGGCAATTTTTATGCACAAGATTTTACAAGTGAAGAAAAAGAGAGTTTGAAGATGCAACTGAAACATTATGAGCATAATGTAGTCAAAGGGTCAGACTTCAAAACTCTTTCAACCATTTCTGAGTTGTGTCAATGGTCGGTAAAGACTAATAAATCTGCTACATACGACCTCATTTTTAGAGTGATCGTACTTGTGCTTACTCTTCCAGTTTCTACTGCTACTGCAGAACGATCATTCTCAGCTATGAATATCGTCAAGACTAGGCTTCGAAGCAAAAATGGAGGATGCTTTCCTCTCCGACGCATTAATGGTGTTTATTGAAAGAGAAATTGCTAAAAGTCTGAGCATTGATGCTATCATTGAAGACTTTAAAAATTTTAAGGAACGTCGAATTCCTTTTAGTTAGAGAAATTTTAGTTATAAAAAAATAGATGATGCTTATTTGACTATTTTCTATATAATATTTGTCTTCCTCTTTTGAAATATTTTGGAGATATTGATGTTGGCTATTCTACTCGTTTTATTTGGGTTGTGGTATATCTCTTGTGAATAAAATTACATTAAAAAAATTTTTTATCTATCTTTTGTACGCGGCCCCCCAGAACTAAAATCCTGGATCCGCCCCTGACTATAAACCAGTTCAACTATACGAGAGTCATGAGACTAAGAAATAGGGAAAGTAATGAGTACGTATGAAATCTAGGATGCTTACTGCATATCCAGGTAAAACTCATTAGGCTAATCTTCAAATATCACTGCACTACATAATGTTTCACACGGAGTGCTTGTGAAAGATATTTGTGGTTCAACCCTGGTTAAACGATCTGGTTGTCTTTGGGCTACGGTAATGTCAAAAACCTTGTACGTGTTTGCTTCCATGTCTATGAGGGGGCAAACAATGTTGGATTTAAATCTATTTGTGAGCATATATGTTAAATCAGTGTATATTGCTATCCTTAAAGATAACCCGTATAAAATGATCAATCAATTTGGTTTAATGTGTATTTAAATAATCAAGGGCTAATTGTGCAGATACCAGACTGCAATTCTAATTTTATGAGGGGCTAAATTAGAAAATTATAAATCTATATAAAGGGGTTATGGTCCCTAATCTAAAGGTTATGTTCTCTATTCGCTAATCCCCATCTAAAGAAATATTCAAAAGAAACCTTTCAGATTAGAAGATCAAACCCTAATTTAGATCTGTGCTCAAATAGTTATGGATTCAGGTATTGCTTCCGCATTCTTGTGATCATTCTATTTGAATTAATCATGGTTAAATTTACAACAAGTGGTATCAAAGCAGACCATGTTTAATTCCTTGAGATTTATGTTTAAGATTAAGAATTTGGGGTTTTTTATCTTAATTTGGCTTTATTAAGATCTGTTGCACGTTTGGATCTGTGCAAATATGATCTGTAGCATGAAAATTTCAATTGTTTTTTCTGTTTGCTTTGGAACTGTAGCACGCATGAACAGTAAAAAGTTCATATTTTTTGGTTTGATTTTCTCTTTCGGCTGTTGAATCTGGATCAAACTCTTGATCCAGATTGTGAGAAAATCATCAATTTCATGAATTAAGGATCAACTCATTGATCAAAATTAAACTCTTGATCCAGATTGTGAGAAAATCATCAATTTCATGAATTAAGGATCAACTCATTGATCAAAATTATGTGCAATCAAGTTCATAATTGACATCAAAAGAAATTTGGATTAAGCCATCGTTCACTTAACTCCTTACCGACGATGTTCTCTGGCGGCCCCGCTGTCAAAAGAAGACAGCGGTGGCGGTATCAGGAAGCCCTATGGTTTCGAAACCCTAAGGTGCGGGAGCTTAAGCGGCGGCGGCGGCGACGACGACGGTTAACTTTCGAAACCCTAAGGGGTGGGAAAAGATCGTGCTTGAAAACGTGCGGAAATTAAAGAGGAGATTACCTCAATTTTAGGCGAGCTTCAGGGCTTGAAAGCTTCAGCGAACTTCGGTTCAATCCAAACGAACCCTGCGTTCGTTCTCAAGTCGAACCCCGCGTTCGTTCTCAAGTCGAACCCCGCGTTCGTTCTCAGGTGAGCCTCGTGCTTGATCTAAACGAACCCTGTGTTCGTTCTCAAGTCAAACCCCGCATTCGTTCTCAAGTTGAACGCTGTGTTCATTCTCAGGCGAGCCTCGTGCTCGATCCAAACGAACCCCACGTTTGTTCTCAAGTCGAACCCCGCGTTCGTTCTCAGGCGAGCCCCGTGCTCAATTCAAACGAACCTCGCGTTCGTTCTAAAACAAACCTCGCGTTCGTTCTCTGGCGTTCTTTTCTTTCCCGTCGGGTGAAAGAGGAGAAACTGCAGTGATAACGAGCTTCTTTGAGAACTCGTTCAAGTTAGGGCACAGACCAAAGCATTTGGGCCTTGTTTAAACATTGTGCCTTGTTTAAACAATTAACTTGAGAAAGTTATTAAGCATTTGGGCATGTGATTAGCGTATGAATTATTTGATTTATCAAATAATTTTTAAAAGTTGTAGGCCTTTAACTATTGGCCTCTCTATGCCTAATTAATAAGGAAAAGTAATTAGGTTCAGATTTTGGCTTAATTTAAATTAAATTATTTAATTTGAATTAAGTTTGGAGTTAATCAATTTCTAATTCAAATAATATGACACTAAGGTATTAATGTTATCTCTCATTCTAAATGATTAATTGAAACAAGATGTTGCCAAAGTAACCTCTCTTGTGTAGATTGTTCATGAGGAATGTTAGATGGTTGTGTGTATATTTTCGTGTAAATATTTAATAAGCCCAAAAGAAGGTTAATATTTATTTAGAATGCATACACATCTGCGATGATAAACATGTGATAATTATAAGGTATACATGTGTATAATGAATCGATCCAAAGATAGTTTTATTATTTGACATGAGTTATTATCAGTGTTTGATCATTGCAACAAGGTATCACTTACAATTAATATTACTGTTCAAAGACTTGATATTAATGTTGTACTAGATATCTTGAGATGAGGTTTGTCATTATTTGAATTTTATTGATTACTAATTATGGTTAATAATGTGAATATCTTTTGTTTGTTTTAGCTAATGCATCTGCTACATCAATTTCTGCTAACATCAATTCAATTCTCATGTTCAATGGGACGAATTTTAAGATTTGAAAAGAGAACATATTAATTGTTCTTGGCTGCATGGATTTAGACATTGCATTAAGAACTGAACAACCCTAACCTCTCAATGCGGATAACACTCCTGATGCAAAGAAGGAGTATGAAAAATAAGAGCGTTCAAATCGCATGAGTCTCATGATCATTAAGCGCGACGTACCGGAAGCCTTCAGGGGCATAGAATCCGGAGGGATTACTAAGGCTAAAGATTTCCTTGTTAAAATTGAGAAGCGTTTTGCGAAAAACGATAAGGTAGAAACAAACACGCTCTTAGCTCGCTTGATTTCGATGAAGTATAAGGGAAAATGAAATATCAGCGAGTGCATTATGAAAATGTCTCATATTGTTTTAAAACTTAAGGCACTTAAACTCGATCTTTATGATGAGTTACTGGTGCATCTGGTTCTGTTGTCTCTTCCTGCATAATTCAATCAATTTAAAGTCAATTATAACTGTCAAAAAGAGAAATGGACTCTAAATGAGCTCATTTCATACTGTGTGCAAGAAGAAGACAAGTTGAAGTAAGATAAGACAGAAAGTGCTCATTTGGCTTATGCCTCTAAGGATAAGGGCAAGAAAAGAAAGAATGGTAATGAAGTTGCTAAGAGTCATGTTTAGAAGAAACAACATAAGGATGATCAGGGTTGTTTCTTCTGCAACAAGTCTGGACACGTAAAGAAGGATTGTACCAAATATCACGCTTGGCGTGCTAAGAAGGGTACATTCCTTACTTTAGTCTGTTTTGAGGTTAATTTAGCTTCAGTACCTAGAAATACTTGGTGGTTAGATTCTGATGCTACTACTCACATAAGTGTTTCTATGCAGGGCTGCCTGAGCTACCGAAACCCAAGTGATGTTGAAAGATACATCTTTGTGGGCGACGGACAATCGGTAGACGTGGAAACAATTGGACACTTTAGGTTGCTATTAGGATCTGGTTCATATTTAGACTTAAAAGATACTTTTGTAGTATCGTCTTTTAGACGGAATTTAATTTTTGTTTCTGTATTAGACAAATCAGGTTATCATTGTTCATTTGGAAACAGTCAATTCAGTTTATATTTTAATTCAAACGTTGTGGGAACTTGTTACTTGAGTACTTATGACAACCTATATTTGCTTGATATAATTGCTTCTTATAATGAATCCTTGCATGACTTATGACAACCTATATTTGCTTGATATAATTGCTTCTTATAATGAATCCTTGCATGTGGAATCACGTGATACTAAGCGTAAATTAAATAATTGATATAATTGCTTCTTATAATGAATCCTTGCATGTGGAATCACGTGATACTAAGCGTAAATTAAATAAAGAAAATTTGGCAACATTATGGCATAAGCGCTTGTGTCATATCTCAAAAGGTAGAGTTGAGCGTCTTGTGTCTGATAGCATTTTAGATTCTCTTGATTTTTCAAACTTTGACGTATGTGTCGAATGTATCAATGGAAAACAAACCAAAGTCAAGAGATTAGGTGCCAAAATATCTTCAGACGTCTTAGAAGTGATACATACGGATATTTGTGGGCCATTCCCTACGGCATCTTAGAATGGTCAGCAATACTTTATATCATTCATAGACGATTACTCACGTTATGGGTACCTATATCTTATTCATAAAAAATCTGAGTCTCTGGACATGTTCAAAGCCTATAAAGCTGAAGTTGAGAATCAACTCAACAAAAGAATTAAAACCGTTAGATCTGATCGTGGTGGTGAGTACTACGGTAGATATGATGGTTCAGGTGAACAACGTTCAGGACTATTTACTAGATACTTAGAGGAATGCGATATCGTCCTACAATACATCATGCCGGGTTCACCTAGCATGAATGGTGTAGCTGAAAGACGAAACATGACTCTTAAGGATATGGCAAGAAGTATGATTGTTCATTCTTCTTTACCAGAATCACTCTGGGGAGAAGCACTAAAGACAGCAGCTTACATTCTGAACAGAGTACCAATTAAAACAGTTGTTAAAACACCTTATGAGCTTTGAACTTGTCGAAACCCCAGTTTAAAGCACTTACATATTTGGGGATGTCCAGCTGAGGCAAGACCTTACAGGCCAAATGCAAAAAATTGGATTCCAAAATAGTTAGCAGTTACTTTATTGATTATTTTGAACGCTCTAGGGGCTATAAGTTTTATGATCCTACACTCAGGAATATTTTTGAGACGGGAACAACAACATTCTTTGAGGATGTTGAGTTTGGGGAGAGAAATAAGGTTAGAGACATTGCTTTTGAGGAGGAATTAGTTTCAGACCCAATCCAGACAGTCACTTTTGATAATATTCCGGTTCTTATACCTGTTGTTGATCAATAAGTGAATCCGGAACCTCAAGATGACAATGTTGAACAACTCCCTGTTCCAGAAGAATAAATTCAACAACCTCAAGAACCAGTGCCATTAAGGAGATCCACAAGAGAAAAGAGAAATGTTATCCCAGATGATTATATTGTATTTCTCTAAGAACATGAAGAAAATAATAGGATGTTGGAAGATGATCCAATCAACTTCCTTCAAGCCATGAAAAGTTCTAACTCTCAAAAGTGGATTAATGTCATGAATGAAGAGTACAAGTCTATGCAAAACAATAAAGTTTGGGAACTTGTTCCATTGCCAAATGGTACAAAACTAATTGGTTGTAAATGGATATTTAAAACCAAGCAGGATGCAAATGGTAATGTGGAGAGGTATAAGGCACGTATTGTAGCCAAATGCTATACTCAAAAGGAAGGCATTGATTATATATAGACTTTCTCTCCAGTTTCATCGAAAGATTCTTTCAGAACAATCATGGCACTTGTTGCTCACCTTGATCTTAAATTACATCATATGGATGTTAAGACCGTGTTTCTCAATGGAGACATTGATGAAATAATCTATATGGTGCAACCAGAAAACTTTGTGTTAGGAGATCCAAAAAATATGGTTTGTAAACTAAAAAAATCCATCTATGGATTCAAACAAGCTCCTCGTCAATAGTATCATAAGTTTCAACAAATAATTATCTCGTTCGGTTTTGAGATGAATGTTGTTGATGGCTGTGTATATCACAAGTTCAGTGGGAGTAAGTATATTTTTCTGGTTTTGTATGTCGATGACATATTGCTTGCCACTAATGATATAGACACGTTGTACGAAACGAAAAGATTTCTATCAAAATTTTTTAAAATGAAAGATCTTGGGGACGCCTCTTTTATATTAGGAATCCAGATACATCGACATCGTTCTCGAGGTATTCTTGGATTATCACAAAAGAGCTATATCGATAAAGTATTCAAAATGTTTGGCATGTAAGGTTGCAGACCAGGTGACACCCCTGTTGCTAAAGGAGACAAGTTTAGTCTCAATCAGTGCCCTAAAGCCCTGTTGCTAAAGGAGACAAGTTTAGTCTCAATCAGTGCCCTAAAGGTAACCTTAAAATTCAGGAAATATAGAAGATTCCTTATGCTTCGGTTTAGTCTCAATCAGTGCCCTAAAGGTAACCTTAAAATTCAGGAAATATAGAAGATTCCTTATGCTTCGCCTGTAGGAAGTCTTATGTATGCTAAGGTGCGTACACGTCCACATATTGCATACATTATTAGGATGTTAGGCAGATACTTAAGCAACCATGGTATGGATCATTGGATAGCAGTCAAAAGGGTTATGAAGTATCTTCAGAAAACAAAAGATTATATGCTCACATACAGAAAATCAGAACAGTTGGAGGTCATTGAGTACTCTGTTTCTGATTTTGCTGGACGCCAAGATAGCAAAAAGTCTACATCATGCTACATTTATATGAGTATGGTATTATTCGAGATATCATGATTTAGTTGGAGTTTGTAATTTTCTGGTGCTTTGTGTTTGGTTGTATTGTCTGATCAGAATAAAGTATTCAGTTAAGATACTCTGTTTCATTATGTTTGGTTTTGACCTCACTAAAGTTTAAGGTATGACCAGTTAAAAATAGACATGTACTGATCACATTGTATGTAATTTTTATGCTGCACATCCATGATTGATCTATGTCATTTGATTGTATTGGTGTATGTGACCATTGATGGGTTTAGTCACGATAATGTGACGAAGGCCGCTTTGATCCTATATTGATATAGCCAATGGACGAGATTGTTTAGAAATACCCTTATTTGTGATAGTAATTTTTTGAGTTCATAAGGTTATACACACTTTAAGGAAACATATGGTGCCCAAGTGAGAGATTGTTGGATTTAAATCTAATTAAATCTATTTGTGAGCACATATATTAAATCAATGTGTATTGTTATCCTTAAGGATAACCCGTATAAAGTGATCAATCAATTTGGGTTAATGTGTATTTAAATAATCATGGGTTAATTGTGCAGATACCAGACTACAATTCTAATTTTATAAGGACTAAATTAGAAAATTGCAAATCTATATAAATGGGTTATGGTCCCTTATCTAAAAGTTACGTTCTCTATTCTCTAATCCCCATCTAAAGAGATATTCAAGAGAAACCTTTCAGATTAGAAAATCAAACCCTAATTCAGATCCGTGCTCAAATAGTTATGGATTCAGGTATTGCTTCCGCATTATTGTGATCATTCTCTTTGAATTAATCATGGTTAAATTTTCAACAAACAATTCATTGGAAAGGCTTAAGGGTCTCTTCTTTTTTTTTTTTCGTTTCCTGTTTCCCAGTTTACTTTGCATGTGGAATTACTTAGAGAACTTCTGGGCAAACATAGCTCTCCCTGTTCATTCTCGTTTTCTGTTGCGCTGGTCCAACGTTGTGAGCTCTTATTCATCTTCTTTTTACTCCCTTCAGCCTTTTCTTTCTTCTGTTGTAAGCAAAGGTGAAGATCGTGTTATTCCTGAAGAAAGCAAGAGATAGATACTTGATGGCCGCGGACATGGACGCTACATTCCTTTGTATATTAGTTTAGAGATTTCAACTTTTCTCGTCCTCTGTCCTAATCACGTTTGATCACTTCTGGGCAACAAAAGTGTGCTGATCGGAACATATACTCTTTATTGGCAGCGTTCCACTTTTTAATTCCTAAAAGAATACCTTGTTTATTGGCCTGTGTCGTGAAGTAATAGGCTTTACATTTCTGTCAACACTCTAGTCAGCATTTATCTTTAAAAAGCGGATGTCACATAGGCCAACTATACTTACCTTGTGGCGATTGAAATTGGCCTTATACCACATAGCGGCAGCCGTATGTCCAAGCACAGTCCATTTTAACGTGCAAGCATCTTATCCCTCAAGCTGCATGGAGTTTGTTAGTAGTTGCCTTTCCTCTTTGTTGTGATGATAATCACACTCTATTACCATTAATATCCATTATTTTCAACTGTTAAACTGCTTTCTGGTTGTCCCACGCGCCAGCTCGTGACCGGATATTCATATACTCAAATGGGCTCGACAGGTACCTCATGCCTGATTCCGCAACTCATTCCTCGGGCGACATGAAAAAGAATAATTTGTGGACTAAACACATGGCGGCATAAAGTCGGTGTACCAAAATATGCATACATATCTCCTCCTCTCTGCCAAGAAATTCTGCTGCTGGCGCAAATTACCCTCATCACCTTAGTTTTGGTAATAGACTCGAGGATTAGGGAACAGTTCACAAATATTCTCTCTTTAGTTTATCCCTTCTTTACTATATATAGGACCCCAAATTTCGGTAGCTCATCAACTACCCCTTCTTTCCATACCGCACTCTTCAAATTAATTCTCTTCTCATCAATTCTATAGAGATATGGATTACTCCAACTTGCAAAGAAAGGCTGCCTACTTGAGAAAGAGCCTCTTTGATCAGGTTTATTTTAGTTCCCTAGAATTAGAACTCCACCATATAAATTAGAAAACCAACAATGAACAAACGTTTTGACACCATAATCGTCTTCTTAAAGAGATCATGAATTTTATATTCTCATATATATTTGTTACTTCTAGAGATTGAATTCTGGACTAACTTAAAAGTTTGAAGCTTAGACTAATAAGGGAGTATGATTTGGTGAAAATATGCATGCATATATCTGTTTTCCAATGTATTTTCCCAAGTGCATGCCCTTATTATTTGAATGTCTTTGAAAACACGCCAATTTTAATCAGCTCAATAAGTTTTCGATAAGGTGTCTACTGATTGTAGAACCTATCCCCTTGCTGCATCCCTTCTCTTCCACTCTTTGGAAACAGACATTTTCTTCTTTTTCTTTTTTGTTTTTCTTTGAGGAGGACAATATATTTCTTGAAAGAGACGAGAAGCTGTCAACACTAGAGTTTTTGATATTTTTGTGAAAGGACTAAATGCTAGTGATATATTTTTCAAGGAATTGGGCATCATTGAATCTCTAAAAACCTCTTTAATACCAGAGGTGTGGCCTGTCAATTTTTGAAGAAAGCATGTCACCTTTCTGATTTCTGTTTTCTTTTTGCTAGTATAAGTTTCTACTTTTTTGCTGGAGAAGTACGCTATGACACAGCTGTTTCCTTTTTTATTAGTCATATTTGGCTGTTTGCAATGTCAAATCAGGTGCATTTTAGTGTAGAAGAGATAATTGAAATTTATTTTTTGTGTCAGGGTTACCTAGATGAGCAATTTGACCAGCTGGAAGAATTACAGGATGAAGTTAATCCCAATTTTGTGGAAGAGGTTGTGACCTTGTTCTTTAAGGACTCCTCTAGATTACTCAATAACATTGATCAGGCTCTGTAAGTAACCACAATACTTAACAGAGATGCCCTTATAAAATCTAGACAGTAGTCCGAAATTGTTTTTTCTTTTTCATGCAGTGAGAAGAGCCCCAATGATTTCCGCAAGCTGGACACATACATGCATCAGCTTCAGGGTAGTACTTCCAGGTAAAAACTTCACATTCTATTCGGTATTTATATTGCCAAGGTGGAGAAGGTCTCATT